AGACTGGAAAGCACATGACTTTGAACTTTGGGCTGCCTCTTTTGATATCCACCAACCACAGCTAGTGTACACAGGGTCAGATGACTGCAAATTTAGTTGCTGGGATTTGCGAGAAGATCCATCTAACTTGGCATTCCAAAATAGAAAGGTTCACACAATGGGGATTTGCTGCATTACTAAGCGTCCAAGTGATCCTTACACCTTACTCACCGGTTGCTATGATGAACACCTGAGGGTATGGGATGTAAGATCAATTTCAAAACCTGTACACGAGACATCAATCTCCTTAGGTGGAGGAGTTTGGAGAATTAAGTACCATCCTTCTGTACCTAACCTAGTCTTGACAGCTTGTATGCACAATGGATTTGCAGTTGTTAAAGTTAAAGGGGATACAGCTGAAGTAATTGAAACCTACAACAAACATGGTTCCCTGGCATATGGAGCTGATTGGCAAAGAGGATTAGGGAGGAACGGTAGGGGTAAGAATAATGTCATTGCTACTTGCTCGTTTTATGACCAGCTTCTTCGTGTGTGGATACCAGAAGGTGATATTCCTGAATGTGACCCTGTGTTGTAGAATATGCTTTACAGGAAACAACCAAAAACTTAGTCAATTTCTTGAGGTGTATGAGCCTGTGTCCACTGTATTATGGAATTTCAAATTGTATTTCTGTGTTTGGTGACTAATATTTATGGCTCTGTTTCAACAATTTACAGTTGGTAAAGCAGAGGGCTATTATGCTAAAGTGGCTCAATAGTTTCTCTGGCCTCTCCATCACTCTGCTCATGGAATACCTAATCCTCTTTAAATTCTCAAATCTTTTAGTTTCTTTTTAACCAGCATTTCATTAAATGTTATTATTGCTTGTAAAAAAAATTAAACGACAACACGATTGTTGTGCTCATATGCTATTCTTTATTTTAAATTTTTCTTGAGGCCTCGATAAAGTTGATGAGCCACTCACCTCTCCAGTTATAACTTTCTTCGAAATATCATCTTTGTTCCTTCCCAGCAGCAGTTGACATTCTCTAAGGAAAAATTACTCAAGAGGCAGGGATGTAGAATAAAAGCTTCTGAAGATAAACCAAACTAGTAATATGGTTTTGGTCTTTCTTTTAGCTTCCTGTAAAAAATCGAAAGAAGTTTGCTCCCATAGCTTGAGTTTATTTCATTTAAATTATATAATACATTTCATAAGAAGTACATAGGCGTGTTTCAGTTTGTTCATTAACCATAATTTAATAAAAAAACGAACTAAATATATAAAATAGGATAATAGTTAACACAAAACTCGTCCGATCCATTGCTTATGCATAGTGAATGCAGCTTGAAGATTGCTAGAGTTCCAAACGGCTTATGTTATGGATTATTTTGAGTTTGGGATGAGAATAACTATTTGCTTACCAAAATAAATCTGAAGTTTGCACTACCTCACACAAACTTTGGACAAAATTTATCTCAAGTTGCAAAAACTGTAAAACTCATAAACTGATACAACATATATGAAAGAAGAAGCCTGATTCACCATTGTTAAATCTGAGGGTACCAAGAATTTGTTGTCACTATGGCGAAAAAGAGGCGGGCGGTATCTGAAGTTTGCACAAATTGGGTACAGATTAAAGTTTTTTTAAAAAGTGAGTTCAGGTTAACTGGGTATGGAGTGAAATTTTTACATGACGAGATATTTTGAAACAGCTTCTCAGACAAGGAAGAGATGGCGGGAAATGATTCTTAGAAGCAATTCCTAACTCTAAATTCTATTCCGCGACTTTGCATCTGAAAAATCTCAAGGAGGTTCGTTTTGCTCCCTCATTTCCTCCAATAGAACTCGCATTCTTCAATTGATAATT